AGACTTGACATGATAAATAAAACACTTGAAAAAAGGGAGAGAATGAAAGCAAATTTGATAAGGTGTTCTTTGAACAAAACCACATGTTCAGGAGCAATAACGTCCAAACTTGTGTAAGCAATCATTAATCAAGAACCAACACTCTTATGTAATATTGCAATATCCATATCCCAAATTAAAATCAAGAGTGAGCACTTGACATATTCGTGGAAAAAGGTTCGGAGCAACCTTCTGTCGTTGAGCTCAGAAAGGATTATAAGAAATTTATATTCAAATGCCACATCGGAGGAGATTGGCTTCTAACATGATTTTAAGCAACTTGGAAAAACAACTTTTTGTGTTTTAAAGTTCTTTATTTTGAAACATCACAAGAAATCAAACAACATCTTTTGATAATTAGCTGAAAATTGAGCCTTTTCAAATAACATCAAGTCTTTATTCAATATGATTGAAATTGTTGATTAATCATGATCGATTGTTTGATAGATTGATCAAAAAACAGATTGAATAGATGGATTTTAATGATCAACATGGATGAGATGGAAAAATGATTGGTGTTGAGGTGAAAAAATTTATGTCATGGTTTCTGGAAAACTACAATATCATCATGAATGGTGTCATTGTGCAATGGCATTTTTTTGTGAACTTTACTCTTTTTCTTCTTCCTTTAGTGCATGGTTTTCAGAGGATGAACTATTACTTTCATGTCTGTGATGATGGTCCATATTTACATAAGGTTGAGATGCTCGCCTTAACTTGTGAACTTCTAATACACTCTTATTCTCATCATCTGAATCTTGTTCGCTATATCTGTGTGTTTCTTGGTCATAAATCTTTTGCCTCTCTATTGATCTTCTAATATTCCCATTCAACACTGGCTTATTCATAATCTCAAGAGTGCCTGAAGATGAAGATGAGCACTCTGAGCTCACGCTAGCTCTTCTACTTGAATTTCTACTTTGAGAATTACTACTAAGGGATTGAGTTGTTGGTAATAGTGGAAGTTCAATATGTTGATTTGTTAAAACAGAAGATGAAGGCGGTGGAGTTGTAGATACTTCAGTTGTTTCCGTAGCTTCGTTTGTAGTATTGTTTGGTATGGTCACATTGCTTGTCACGTTACTGTTGCTGGTTTGTTTGGCAGGACTAAATGGATTTCTAATTTCAGAACCGACTGGAGAAATTGGTGATCCTGATCGAGGAAGAGAGAATCTTCTAAGATTGCCAGAGTTATTATTCTCTGTATTCTTTAAATCAAGCAATACTGGTTGCTGTACCTTAACAGACAAACTTCTAGATCTACTAAGAATTGAATCAAGTCCAGTTGTTGTTGTTGAATTATTTGAACCAGCTACTGGATCAACGTTTAGGGAGGGAGTACTGTTATTATTGTTGTTATTGGCATTAGCAACTAATTCCTTTTCCTCCTTTTCTGCAGCAGAAGTTAGAGAAGATAATGAGGAAACTTTAGTTATGGTGGCTAATACTGGATTCAAGGTTTGACTGGTCGGAGGTGGTGTGGAGGGTTTAATATTTTTAAAATCTTCTGTTCCTTCCATTTGTTGACCACTCTCGGAATGATGTTCAGAGAATTCATCACCAACAGGATGTCCCATAGCTCTTGCTCTAATTTTCAGGGTACTGTCTAGTGGCATAGCATCTGGAGAAGTGTTTTGATAGTATTCAGTGCTCAATAGATATGTGGTCATTTCTCCTTTTCCTTTTGCCACAACACTAGACTTTTCAAATTGATACTTTCCACATAATTTGCTGTGTAACTTTTCTGTGATTTGAATTCTTCCAGATTTACCTGTAGACTCCATTCTTGAAGCAGTCTATTTAGTAGTTAGCAAAATACAAGTGAAAACAATAACTTACATTTACAGCATCTCCCCACAAGTCATAAGCAAACTTCAAAGTACCACAAACACCGGCTACCAATGGTCCACAATGCATACCAATACGAACAGTAAAGTTTCTGTGAAAATCTGTGTTGTAATTGTAGACAACTCCAAACATATCCATAGCAAATTTAAGAGTTCTCTCTTCAGGATGGTCTCCTTCATCAGACCTGACCTTAAGACCTCCAGCACAAAAGTATTTCTCACTAATAGTCTTGATTTTTTCTATTTGATAAATTGGCACAAGAGAATCAAAACCATTAATAATAATATTCAAAGTTTGCACAAGCTCAGTTGCGGACATGTGTACAGAAACCTCAACAAATCCTACCAAGTCACTGAACAAACAAGTGACATCCTCGTGACTGTCAGCAATAAATGTTTCTCCATTTGAAAGTCGTTGTGCAATAGACTCTGGAAGAATGTTAAGAAGTAATGATTCACTCTTCTTCTTTTCTTCTGCCAACATGAGATCATGCTCTCTATCTGTTGTTAAATCTGTCATAAAACAAGATATAATATTTCTTCCCTCAATTACTGATACTGAAATTCTGAGTTGAACTGGGAAGGTTGTCTTATTCTTTCTTTGACCTTGTAATGTCAAGTTTTCACCATAAGTTTTAGATGAAATTGCCATATTGGAAAGCACACTATGAAGTGATGGCTGACTTTCATTAGTAAACATTTGAGCCAAAGACACACCAATCACTTCATCCAATCTGTACCCAAACATCTTTTGAGCAGATTCGTTGAAAATATCAATTGATCCATATGAAGAACAAACTGCTGTTCCAGCAACAGCTGCCTCAAGAATAGCTTTTTCATTACTCACTTGTTGTCCATTCTTGTCAGACTTTTTCTTTGAGTTTCCAAGGGTATAATACATGATATATGAACGAATATCACCATCACTATCGAGAATGTCCACTGGCAAATGGTTTAGCATGATTCTCAGTTGGTGATTTTCACTTCCAAAACTGCTAATTGCTCTATATAACAAAAATACTGTAATCAAAAGGAAAAAGGAAGCCAATGAGGTAGATACAGCTCCAATAACTTTTTGCTGATTGGAAAAGTTTGAAACATAAGAATTCATAATAATGGAAAAACTATTGAACAACTCTACACTCTGATCATAAACTGCCTGTAGCTCATCAAGTAATACATCTCTAGAAAATGTTTCCCTGAATGCATTTTGGTTTAACTTCAAAACTGAGCCGTCAAAGTCCTCTACAATTGAGTCAAGCCCAGTACATTCGCTTGCAACACTAGAATTACTCGACAAAGAGCAATTAGATGATTGTAATAACTCATCAATTATACCCGTCACTCCAGAGAGGGAACTGAAAGAGTCTTCTGCAGTACCATACCTTAAAGCAGTCCAACCCTGTTCAAAATCCATAATATGAGCATCAATTTCATGGAAGAATTGAGTCTTGTTTACACCTAGTGCTGATGCATCCTCTAATAATAATTCTTGTATCTTGAATAATATTCTTTGAGAAGTCATGAGAGCTTTTGAAGAGTATTCCAACTTTCTCATTACAAGAATTGAACTATTCATTTGAGTTAGACCCTCATATAAGATAAGAGCGGAGGCAATGGTAGTAATGGATAAAGCTATTGAAATCAAAATAATAATTCCTCTGACTGGTGTAATAAAGTAATTCTTTTGTGGAATGATGGTGTTGTCAGTTTTAAGTTCCAATTCATGGCTAATTTTTGAGGCTTCTTGTTTTGGAATATTTGAAAACAGTTTAAGGATGTGCTTTCTATGACCAACATGTGAGATCAGCATACCAAGATAAACAAGGATATAAATAAAATAGGCAGCAGTAAGAGTAGCAAAGACAATCACAAACACATTTGTATCGTATTGTAAATCCACAAGTTCACCAGAAATCATTGAAGAGTAAAAGAGTTCAAAAGCATTTGTAAATGACAATCTGTTAACGAACATCATGGAAAAGTAGAAATTCCTATAGGTTTCTGAATATGTTGTAAGGTTGAATAAGGAAATTTCATTGGTAAGAGATGAAAAAGCGTTTGCAATAGCAGAAATAGAGGCATTTTTGGTGAAGAATTCAATTCCTGTAACATTCTCAAGTTTGGTTATAGCCACCTATAAAGTTGGTGTAAATAATAAAAACATTAACACACTTACATTGTATGATTTGTCATTATTTGTGAAGTCTTCTTTCATTTTTGTTGAAAATAATGATCCCTCTGAGGAGTGAATAAAAGTTTCCAAAACTGATTTGAAAGAAGAGAGCCTTACTTGGTAATCATTGAAAAATCTTGTTGAATTTTGAATCAAGCTCTCATCATCCAGTAAATTAATTCGTCTCATGTCAGAAAGAAGAGCGTATGGAATAGGTCCTAATATACAAGCTTCCTTAATAACTTCTACAATACTTGTGTTCTTATTTGTGAATGCTAAATCCATAGCCAAAGTAATGATCATGTAAATAATTGAAACAACGCATAGTGAGACAAGGAAAATGAGAATGAAATTATTTTCTTCTCTCTTATTGATAGCAGTTCTGTATTGTTCCTTTAAACGCTCACCTGGATCCATTTCTCCCTGCTGACTAGCTGATTCTAGGATAGCATCATCATCATCCAGATTGGTAACAAGTTTTCCGTCCAAGTTTGCAAGATTTGTTTTTGGAGCTGTAATAGGCTTTTTAGATTTAGGTTTTGATTTGAGAACCTCTTCTTCTTCTAAAATGTTTGCCTCATTGTATAGTTCCTCGGCAAATAGGGGTTCAAATGCAAACTCTTCCAAATATGATGCATATGCTCGGAGGACAGTCTTGTTATTGTGATGATTGACCATTAAATTACCAAACGTTTGATAGCATTCTGTAGAAGTTTCTTCCATTTGTTTCGTAACAGAGTAGAGATCTTGACCTGAGGCAACATTCTTCCAAAATCTAACTTGCAAATGTTTCAACAAGTCAGCTTTTCTTTTGAATTCCCTCCAAAATGTGGTCCAATTCAAAATTGTTTCTTCCTGTAGAAGTAGCTCTCTCAATTTCTCTGAATCTAAGGAAAAGCTTGAATCGTGTCAAAAAGTCATTTCGTTGTTTTTCAGCCTTTTTCAATAGCATGAGAATAAAGGTTGTCGAATTGTCTTCTAATACATATTTCATAAATAAAGCTATGGCAAGCAGGGTCTCGGATGGAATGGCATCTTTGTAATTGACTACCATTCTGGAGAAGCTTTTTCCTAAAGTCTTTTCCTTCTCATTTGCCTTAGTGGAATGTCTAATGAATTGTGTAATGTAGTAATAGTCTTTGTCTATGAGGATGGCAATGTTTCTTGACTCCATCAGTCCTTCCAATAACTTTCTTCCTCTTGATTTTAAAACCCTAGTATATATTTCCACACCAATAAAACCAATAAAAAAGAAAATTATAAATCCTGCAACTGGGCCAAATGTTATTCCTAGCCCAACTTGCCACTCATCTTCCTTATTGATTAATGTGGCTACAAGCGACCCAGCCGCAACACCTATTCTACCTGTTGTTATCCCTGCATAAACTGAATTCATCGATCTGAACAAAAAAGGTGTCTGCCAAATAAGAACTCCTACTGAAATTAATGAAACAACTATAAAGTATACTGGTCTTAAATAATAAACCATAGATGGTGTCACTTGGGAAACAATAAGGAAGATTTGATTTGTGGAGACAATCACAGCGAGAAAGAGGCTATTTTCCATTGCAAACATGCTCTTACTTGATATACTAGTATCACAGAATATAAATACAGCAAACGTTGTGAAAAATATCTGTACAACCATGGCTATTATTGATAAGGCAGCCATTGCTCCATTGGTAGCTCCCCAACACTCAATGGTTGGAAATCTTTTCAAGGTAAATGTAACCTTTCCAGAAATTGTTTCAGTTTGAGAATAATCGCAATCCCAAAATGAGGAACTCATTCCATACGTTGAAGGTAAACTTATAATAATCATTAGGGCAAATGTTATCCTAGCTGTTGTTTTGATTTTTGACCAATATTTACTTCCATTAATGAACGACCTATATGTCAGATAAATAGTGAATAGAGCTATTATTTCCAATATGTACACAGCAATAGCCAATCCAATGAAAGCATCATAGGGCAGAAATTGGAATCCAAAAGTTCGGGGAATAGCCACAGCATGGTATAAATAACGACCATACTCGCCCCAATTAAAATCTATTGATACTCCCAGACTAAGAGTTTGCCAAATAACTATCCAGTTAAGTAAAAAGTAAATAAACCTAGGAATTGGTTTTTCTAGTTTTAAAGCATTAATAAAGAGAAATACTGTAGATTCGATTCGTTGTATAGCACCTTCTCTCATTCTTTCACTTCCTACAGAAACCTTAGATATGGTGCTTTTAGGTCTATTTAATTGTTTACTACCCCTCCGAGAGATGAGGTCATTCTCTACTGATTTTAATTTAATATTACTATTATTTGCTTCTTGTCCAGAACGATTACCACCAAGTGAGGAACGACTTGGTATTCTATGTGCCATGTTCGATGTAGTCGATCGTTGTCGTTCAAGTCTTTTTGGAGGATTATTATTAGGTGATTGAGGTTGTTGGTAAGGGTTACCTACAACACTCCTTTCTTGCATTTGAATAAGCCCCGCCCTAAATACAAAAGCAAAGCTGATCTATAAATTAGTATGCTATTGATAAGAGTTGATGCCGTCGTTGTCAATAACAACTTGAGAGAAAGAGAGATGACGGTGTCAGACGGTGGTATTTTTTTCCTTTTGTTGATGATAGTTGTATCGAAAATAAACGTATGTTTTCAAGGCGGGAAATTTGTTCCAGCCGAACTTCACAGTAGAGATTCCAGAAAAGATTCAGAGTGTGGTTATTGCGCCCAAAGTTGCGAATGTGTGTTGACGTGATTAATTGCATATGTTTCATATGCTAATCTGGGATGCTAGTTGTCTTGGCCTAATTCAAATTTTGAACCTGAGCTATTGAAATGGTCAGTCGTTAAAAATTCCCCAACAATTCGAATTCAACCCATCCTGTTAGTGTGGTAGATTGTTCAAGTTCGCATGGTAAAGTTCCAATATTGCATCTGATAAAAAAATTTGAATCATCACGATGTTTTATTGAATGTTATAAGTTGCAGGATAGAGGGAAGTAACAACAGGAGTACAATCTTGGTCTTGCTTGGAAGAAACAGAAGATGGGAAGACATAGACAGCTTGTTGTTGAACAGTACGTCCAGAGTTTGTAACATCTGACATTTCTGTAGCAGGATCATGATTTGGCACAAGACCGTATTGACCGTATCTACTAGAATTGTAAGCATGATGAGATGGAGTAACTCCAAAGTTACGTGTTTGTTGAACTGGTGTTTGCTTTGGTTGTGGGGTATTAATTTGACCAATAGAAGTCAACAAGTTACAACTACTCCAATCCATAGCAAAGGTGATATTGTAAATGACAATCAACAAGGTACAGGTCCATTCAACAATATTGCTAGTTGTTGTTTTCAAATGAATATCTTCAATAACAGTTTGTTGTTGAGATGTTGTTGGAATATGAGAATTGAGATTCAACTTTGAGAGACTAACTTGTTGTTGAACATTTCCAAAACCAGTGGTGGAAGCACCTTGTCCAGAAGTAGCAGCAACACTGCTCAATATATTGACCATCAACATGGCAATACTGAGACCAGTAATACCAATCTTCAAGTACAATGATTTCTTGGTCATGAAGGTAAGACTTTGAGCATCAGCAGAGATTTCGGCAAGACTTTCGTCAGCACTTGATTCCTCTCTGACATGATTCAATTGTTGATATAATTTGTATGACTTGTAGGTGGTAATACCTTGAGCAACGAGACAGAAAATGAAAAAGCTTGAAGCAGCAATAACGTGCATGGTCCAAGGCATATCACTATTAGAAGTAATACACATGGAAGAAATAGTAATAGCAACAGAAGCACCAATACCCAAGTACCAAATAATGTTGAGAAGATGATTAGAAGGTGGATTCATCATGAGAATTGTGTTCAATACACTGTGGCTATGTTCATTATGTTCCTTGATGAGCTTGACTCTTTTTTGGAGAGTATCGATTTGTTGTTGTACATTTCTCAACCAAGTATAGAGCAAATTCCAGTTCCATGCCATGACCACAGCCATAGCAAGCATACCAACACGAAAGACATATCTTTCTGGAGTAAATCTTGCTGTGTGAGTAATATCAGTGTATGGGAATGGTTTGGTATGTCCTTGAGAAGTTGACAAGGTATATGTTGTAGCAATGGTAGAAATTGTGCCAATAACAATAGTGAGAGGGAAGTATTGAGCAGGAATGGAGCTCAAAATGGCTTCCTTTGGAGCAGTTGATGGATTCATTAAGTTGTTAGTTTTTCCAATATTACAATTATTATTATTAATGATGATGATGGTGATGCCGAGCAAGATATTTCAAGTTACAACACAAACAACGTAAAATGCAGGGAGTGATCAGCGAAAAAAAACTCGGCGGGAAGAGTGTTGAGTGTTGTTCTTTTTTCTGATGTTTTTTTAAAAGGTGATTTGAGCCTTCAAATAATGCAGTAATCAAAGGATGAATCCACTCCGCAAGAGTACAAACTTGAAAATTGTTGTTGGTTTTCTTGAGAAGCTTTGTGTTATGTGATATCGAAATAACAGTTAATTAATTAGTCGTTATGGAGGTGAATGATAGTAGTGGTGTTATTATTATTGTAATACATGGTGCAGACTATTATCTGATTTAATGATTCTTAATGAAGGTTACTTTGTCATATCTTGAAATGACCTTTGGGGAGATGATGTTTGATTTTGATTATTATATTATTTTAGAAAAGGATTAGAATATTAGTCAAATAGTTTTGTTTACAATGTAGTTTTACAATGAGCTTATTTACAAATATTGGGCAGGGAAAATGCTTCTATTTAGGTTCACTTTGTTATTTAGTGAAAAAACTTTGAAAATGCTTAAATGAAGATTCTAATTTATTACCATAAGCAACTTTTGTTGAAGACAAGGAACTAAACTAGCTTGGATTTGTTCAATAACTCTTGTTGAGTTTCCAATACATTCAAATAATTGGAATATTCATCAGTCAAGGAGAATCTAGAAAAGGTATCACTCAAATTGAAAGTAATTTGATCAGACAATACAGAAAATACTTGTTGTAATTCGGTTGCCAATTCTTCTGGAATTGGTTTTTGATTTTTCAACTCAGGTTCTTGCTGCTTGACAATTTCGAATAGGGAATTTTTCACTTTAGAGAAATTTCGTTTACAATCGGATGGAATATTAACTTCCTTAATGGAATCTGTTTGAATGTAAGTTGACCAAACGTTATCCATGAACACATAAAGTTCATCCATATTGTCAGATGTCTTAATTAATTGTTGGTTGTGTTTCATTTCCAAGAATAAATGCAAATTCTCTAAGGAATATTCTTTTTCACTAAATTGCTCCAATAATCTCAATCCTTCCACATTATTCAAGATTTGGCTTAATTCATCCATCTCAGAAGAATCTCTATTTTTGGATAATGATTGTTTCTTCTTTTGTTGAATAAACTGAACTAATCTGACTAACAATGCATAACCTCCAAAGACCAACAAGTAAGTGAACAAGTACAAGACTTCGAATACCAAAGAAATGGAATCATTAACTCTTGACATTTTTTCTCCTTTCTTATAACTCAATCCTGAAATTCCAATAATTTGTGAAATGTTCAAAAATACGAAACACAACACGAAAAGACTCATTTCACCTCTAAAATAGAGAGGATTGTCAATCTTAATAAACCAATTATACGCTTTCCATAAACTAATCTTGGCTATTTTCTTGGTGGCCTCCTTATCAAACTTTTGCAATGAATTACTGGACTGACTTGCGTTTTCTTGATTACCATTATTGACAATTGACTTTTCCTTTCTCTCATTCATAAGAGTCATGAAAACATCTAATCCAATCAAACCACAAATCATGAATCCTAAACAAAGAAGAATCACAGTGAATGAAATTGAAACAATGTAAGAATAGGCAACTCCTGTAATTGCTGAAGTTCTCACAAGGATAACCCAGAGAGTCCAGTATAATAGGTTCAAAATTACAAAAGTAGTGATGATTGTGATCATGGCTTTGGTTGACAAGAGCTGTCTAATTAGGGACAAGTTTCGTTCACTTTCTTTTTGACCAGAATTGAGGGAAAACTTGATGGAAAGCTTGTGATAGAAATATTTCAGAATGTGATATCTGGAAATTTGATACAAATAAGCAAACATTGCTGTCAAAGTCAAAGTGTTTACAATAATGGCGATAATATTCGAAACAATATTGGCTGCCAAATCTGAACTTTCCACTTGTATAGCTGTGGATTCAGACCATCCATTCTGTTCTGACAATAAAATGCTTCTCTGTGTTATAAGCAACAAGATACATTCCACTATTAAGGCAATCATTCCTATAAATGGTGTGACGAAACGACTTGCTAATGGTTGAGATTTTCTCATGATAATCAAACCAACTAGTAATGTACTAGAAAGCATTAGGAAGAGAACTCCAAAGGAAATTTGAGCAATGTACAAATTCGATAACTCTTTCAATACTACTTGGTCAACCAGAGTTTCATTGAATGATTGTTCAACAAAGGCAGCGAATAGAGTAGTGTGAGTGCATTTACAGGTCACTTCGCCAGTAGCTTGATTGAATACATGCAAGGAACATCCTTGATTATCCCATTTTTCTGTTGTTTCATTCCAAAATTGACACTTGACAAGGGATTGATTCAAAGAAGTCAAATTTTGAACAGAAAATGAAATGTAGATAGGTTGAACTAATTCTGATAGAGGAAGAGCCTCTCCTCCCATATAAAGAGTGAAATCTTTGGAGTTGGTTATTTGAGTTTGGCTTGAATTATATAGTTTCGAATTGTAAGAAATTAAGGAAAGACCAATTTCCTTATTGTAACCGTTATACTTGTTAAGAATGTAATCTGAATCTAGAAAAATGTCAGAGAATTGTAGTGCCTTGATACTGGAATTGCTCTTGACAAATGACGAAACTGTAATGTTAATTAATTCAGTTGAATATTTCGAATAGTCAATTGAGTTGGAAACTATCTTGGTTGACTGTTGATACAATAAAACGGATGATAATTGAGTACAAAGGCTTGAGATATTGGAAAATCCAAAGAAAAGCAAGTTACTAGCACTTGATAAAGTATTCTTCAAATCAGAATTTGTCAATCTATTAGAAACATATCCATTAGTTTCCTTTTCCTTCTTATAAACTTGATTTAAAGAAGATAAGTAAGAATCAATCTTATCATTAATGATAGAACCAACTTGGTAAGAAGAAGCAACACTTTGGCTTGTCAATTGTCGAAGAGTTGTTAAAGTATTTGATGGATTATTAATGTCAATACTCAACTTGCTGACAGACTCGATAATAACAGAGCTGTATTCTTTCAGATCTCTAAACTTCCATGAAGAGTCATAAGGAATAATGCGTGCAATATCATCAATTTGATTTTTCAATTCTTCAACTGTGTTTACCAAATTTGGACTAATTGAAACAGTACCAATAAGAGAAGAATATTCATTCTTTAAAGCATCCTTACAGATAACATAAATATCCAAATTTTCACTTTGTCCATTACTATTATTTGCGTTCAAATATGGAAGGAACAATAAATCCATCCCATTTATGGAAAAATCAGAGATTCTTACTAATTCTTGATTGTAAAAGAAACCAAAGGCAAATTGAAAAGGTTCAAGATATTTCTTACTTTCTTCCGAGACTGTCCAAAGATTCTTATCTTCCTCTATTGAAAATAAGGAACCAAGTGCGATTCCAGAACTTGGTTGAATCTTACCTAAACCTTTAGTTCTCAACAGAGGTGAAATAATCAAGATATCTTGAGAAATTGAAACATTTTCACCACCAGATACAATTTCAAATGTCAAAGTTACATTTCTACTTAAAATTCTAGTAAAACCAATTGAAATAACAGGTGAGAAAGTCAACTGGAAAGTTGAAGACGAAAGATATTTCGTATTTCCAAATGCGGTATTCGAATGTTGGATAATTAACGGTGAACCATTGTCTCTATCCTTCAAATACCAACTATATGATAAAGAAAGTGAACATGTCACTCCACAATCCTTTCTCGAGTTGACTAGATCACTAAATGTTCTCAATTCCATTCCAATAACTTTCAAATCAAAAGTTGTGGAAATTCCTTGGACAATTGCAGTTGGAATGCCATTAGTTTGTAATTTTCTTGGAGTGATGCGAAATTGACATTCGTATCCTTCATAATTTGATGGACATTCACAAAAATCAGGTTTCGTACAATTTCCAATAGCTGAGCAAACTAAACTAGAACTTTTTGCAATACCGAAACATATAGGAACATCACATTTTGATCCAGTATAATTTGAATTACAATTGCATTGATCTAAATTTTGACATTCTCCATTGCCAGAGCACGCCATTGAACTGTTTCCCAAAATTCCAAAACAAGTTGGAATTTCACATTGATTTCCTGAAAATCCTGGTTGACAATTACAATTATCTTTTCCATTACAATTTCCATTTCCAGAACAGACATTCGAATAATTTGCTGGAATTCCATAACAAGGAGCAACTTCACATTGTTTACCTAAATATCCAAATGTGCAATTACAGAAATCTTTGAAAGTGCAATTTCCATTTCCAGAACAAACATTCGAATAGTTTGATGGGATACCGAAACATGAAGTTATTTCACAACGATATCCAGAATAATCACTCTTACAATTGCACTTATCTTTTCCAATACATTCTCCATTACCAGAGCAAACACTCGTGTCATTTGACATGATTGAAAAACATTTTGGCATTTGACAGTTATCTCCATAAAAACCCTCCTTGCAAGAACAGCTATCTACACCAACACACGTTCCATTTCCAGAACAAGTTGCTGTGTTATTATAAGAAATGCCTCCACATGTATGTTCAGCACAATCTTGGCCGACGAAACCTTTCGAACAATTACAAAAATCCATTCCTTGACAAATACCTCTTCCACTACTGCAAGCACTTGTTTGATTGGATAAAATTCCAAAGCAAGTTGCAATTTGACAATTCTTTCCAAGCAAACCATTCTTACAATTACAAAAATTGTAATCTTGACAAGTTCCATTTCCAGAACAAACCAAATTTGAATTACTTTGAATTCCATTACAACTTGTCAATTCACAATTATCACCAAAATACTTTGATTGGCATGAGCATTGATTGGTTTGATTACAAATACCACGTGATGAACAAACAGAAGAGTTGGTGCTGTCAACTCCTGAACAGACACTTGACACACAACGTGACTTTTGTGCATTCAAGTAATGTCCAGCTGTTTCACAATATGGAATCAATCCACGAATTCGTTGATTGGAAATTTCTGCAAAGTAAATTATACCTGTCAAGTTGTCAAATGTTATTCCAGTAGGAAGAGTTACACTACTAGAAGTGGCATTGACATTCTCCTTATTATCATTACCAGAACTTCCTGAATATCCAGCAATTACCGAAGATTGACCGTCTTTAATTCTCCAAATTAGGCTACCAACATAATCTGTAAAGAAAATGACATTATCTTCAGTGACATATACTGAATACGCATTAATATCTGAAGCAAGAATTGAAATTTGATTATTTTGATCGATTGCTTTCAATGTACGAGCTCCATTTTCGGTAAAGTAAATAGTATTGTTTCGAATAAAAATTCCATTCGGTCCATTAAGACTGCCAACACTAACCAATGCAAAGGAACTATCCTTCCAGTGTCGAATCAAGTTATTATTCTTATCGACTGCATACAATTCACTTTCTGATAAAACAAAAAGATTCGTATTAGGATAAAATGTTAAAACATCAAATACTTGAATTGGAGAATCATTTAAATACATCTTGGAAACTTTCTGAGATCCACTATTAGAAACATAGAGCCAATCATCCACAATATGTATTCCTGTTGGAGCATCCAAAGTGGATATTGGGTTTACGATGGTATAACTTCCATTATTCGAAACTGCATAGATGTTATTAGTGGAACCTGTTACATACATCTTGTGGTTATAGAATTGAATGGCATTTGGATTGGTGTTGGCTGGTAGAGTTGAATAGGTCTTGACTATGTATTTAACATTGGATTCGGCTCCACTGACATGCATCTGCTGGTGCACGAAACCTGCAAGTGTGAGTGTTATCAATAAGAAGAAACGAAACATTCAAGTTGCTATTAAGATTGGTTTGTGTTGTTTTTTTTGATAACAAGTTATTCTAAAGCAATTTAACAAGTGTTTATTTTGCATTCTCTCGGGATTCGAATAGTTACATAGTCACATGTCTATCTCACGGATATGGCTGTCCAATCAAGAGAGTTGCTCATGGTCATGAGAATTTTGCCGAAGTCCGAAGTTTGTGATAGAAACAAACCTCACGATAAACTTTTTCAACCTTTTCAGGATTTTTATTCGACAGAAATCTTCATGTCAATTAGCATGGAATGAATATCCAATACCTGTATTATCTTGACAACTTTATCACTAATGGTTTTGGACAATCTAAAACTCTCAAATCGTTCCAAGACTGAAAAGGTTTCAACCAATTCTTGTTTGCAAAACTTGTTGTGAAGTATAAAAAAGTGGACAATCTTCTCCAAACTTCCAAACTGTAAAATACTTCTAGCCAATTTGGTTTTAACAAGTTCTTTATCTTATTGAATATTGTTGTTTTAATTTGGTTCAACCAAATGAATCTCAACCAAAAGAAAAAAGACATTTCTGTTACACTCCATTTCTCACACAGATTATTCTAATATTATTAGTTTTTCCTTTTTAAGAGACCTCCAAATGAATCAGTCCATTTCCTTCTCATTCCCAAGAAATGAGCAATTTTCCTCTAGAAGTGAGCAATCATTCGAATATTCATGTATTTCAATTTGGAATATCACTCAAGTTAGACGAGAAAATAATTGTAAAGTTGTTGTTAACCAAGAAACAATTATTTGTCAATGTCCATATCAAAACCAACTCAAATTGGTGTTTTGAGAACTGCCATTTCGAGAAGTGTTTCAGTTGAACAAGTAGCTCAACCTTCAGATTCAAGTAATTATGCTGTTGAAATGGAGACTGTTAAAACCTCAACAGTTTAGAACTGATTAGGAACAATGACACAATAGATTAGTAATAGATTAGTAATAGGAAAGTTATTCTTATTAAATAAATGAACCCAATCAATACATGTGAAATCTTTCACACTTGCGTGCATTGATAGCAAAGTTCAAAAAAATGGCTTTCAAAAGAAGGGACAAGAAGCAAAAGAAGAAGCACCACCTCACACACAAGAAGCAACGTAAGACTTGGTCGGATCGTTTGGTGACCAATTTGATAAGAAATCAATTTAAATCACGAATTTGGAAAAGAGTGAGAGAATTTATTGATGGATTCCTCCCTGATAGTATTCCTTTCATTCATTCTCCTGCACAACAAGGCTCAAATTCTGCTTCTCCATCATCACCATCATCATCAACATCATCATCGAATGGTTCTTCCAATCAAGTAGTAGTAATTAATGTTCAAGAGCAGCAAGATAACAAATTGGATAATGCTGAAAACAACAAAATATTCGGAGGAAAATCCAAATTATTAATTAATGGAATGACCTTGTGGTATGATCTTGTTAGTTTCATCCTATCGAGAGAGAGATTAACACTTGATTTGGAGGGATTTTATTCAGGTGGAGTGAAGGATTATTTGGCTAAAGTTTATAGAGAGAATGGCTTGTTGGCATGTATTAGTAATAGACAAGTAATGGGACCGATTGCCAAATTCTTGCTTTCTACACTCTATACTGTGAGTATTCAAATGCCAATAATGGATACTTTGTGTGAAAATTATGAAGCATCACCAATGGTTAGTCAATTGATTAGAAGAATTGATGATATTCTCTTAATGGCTATGAATTATCCAATTGACACTTCATGTTTAATGAAATTCAAGAGAGGAGAAGCAAAAGTAGAATCAGCAACAAGTAATTCTCTTGTTCAATCTTTGAAATTTATTAAGGAACAAAATGGTGTTGTGAATGGATGGTTTAGAGGTTTTGGATGGTCTATTCTTGAGAATATCTTGTACGAAACATCAGATTCCTTATTAAGAAGTGGAATGAGTTTACTTTTTAGTAAATTATTTGGATTGGATTCATGTGGAAGTAGTACAGTTGGACAGATTGCACTCTCTGGAGAACAATTAGCTCTCTTCAACAAATTCCAATCGACTAGTATTGATTTGATTCAGGATGCCTTGTTGTCTCCACTCAGATTTTCCATCCTGAGATATAGAACTGACTTGGTCAATCAATACACAAGTCCAATCGATTGTTTCAAACAAGTCCATGCAAAAGAAGGATTCAGAACATTCTACAAGGGAACATTTATTGGAACCTTCTTGGTCAATCACAACAAGAACCAATAAATTCTTCTATTATCACCACTGCAAAATGTTTTTCTATTTTGTAGACCGTTGTTGAAAAAGAGGGATTTTCATCATTGTCACTAGCTACCACGCGAAAGAACTCTCTAACAGTAGTAAATTGGAAGATGTGCATGTAGAAAATTGAAAGCTTCTTCAACACAATTTGTAGCAACTTTCTCATGAAGAAATCAGGAGTCACCTTTCATAATTCCAATGCCAAGTTAATTCCCTACCGAGGATTCCCATCCATTTATCATGCAGAGACATTCTTCATGTTGGTTTCTGATCGATTGGGATTCCATTTGTTGTGGGTAGGTTTTGATTTCACACACGCAAGTATGTATATTGAATTGGTTGGGTTATACCAATTACAGAGTTTCAGATGATTTTGTGTTTAATGAATTGATTTGTGGATGTGTCATTCCAAATACCAGCATTGCACAATCTATTTTGAAAAAACTCAATGCCTATGGATACAAACATCATAAATATATTAAGAAAAAGTAGTTCTTCATAAGAATATATTTATTTACATTTGATTTGGTGGCTGTGCTTAATTTTGATTGGTTGGCTTGTTTTCTTCAGGATTATTCATATTCACTGGATTATTACTAACAACTGGATGGGAAGGTTGTTGTAATATTTGAAGATGTTGAGGTTGACCATTTTGAGGATAATATTGTTGAGGTTGTTGTTTTGCTGAGTAGTATATTGAGTTGGATAAGTTTGATTATTGAAAGCTTGTTGGTGGTTTGGATTGTAACTGTTTCTATTATCCCAACCATTGTGTCTATCACGAGAACCACAGAATGGACCGAAATGATTCTGATGAGATTGATTGCAATTATTGTTTCTTCCCCAAGCATAGCCAACGAAACCACCCACGAGCATACCAAAGAAGAATCTTGGGAATATTCTTGGTCTCATTCTGTAGCTGTAGTCATAGTAAAATCTTGGACCCTTCATTTTGTTTATATTGTTATTTTGTTATTTTGTTATCTTGTTGTTGCTTTGTTTTTTCAAGAATTTCATTTGATAACAGAGCTATTTAAAAATAACAAAATATGCGCCGTGGAGGACATTTATTCAACAACAATTTGATTGAGTGATTGAGGCTATGGACTTTTTGGTGTTTTTTATTATTCCATCGATGCGCTTAATTTTGATAGAGTGGCAATTTGAAAGTACTATTTGACTGATTTTAGAAAGGGTGTTTGTAGAATGATAAGATCTTACGTTCTTTAATTGCACTAACTCTGCGCATTATTATCGTTAGAATTTGGTTTGCAAAGTTGTTAATTTTATTCTAAAGGTTTAACTTTGGATCGTTGGGCCATTATTAGGAAGTAAGCATCACCTGTAAATAACGTTACCTATCAGTCGTTTATTTATAATAAATACCTGTTCCAAGTCTTGAGGGAATCCAAGCTCTCTCATCCTTTCCCTACATTCCTCTAGAGGAATTTTGTTGAGGCAAACAATACTTCGGCATCCATTTTCATGAACCCCAAACAACAAATTGACGAATAGGATCACTTTCTCCAAGTTCGAGCATACGTAATCATATTGTAAGCTGGCAATCTTTCTCCTAACGGCTTCATTGCTGAATAATTCGTAAATAAGACAGTGATTAAATGTTTTTGGTGAGCTAAGGCAAGAATAGTTTTAGCAAATGAACTACGTGAATTATACGAGATATAAATTTTACAAATAATATATTAACAATTTATTTAGATTTCAGCTTCATATTCTGGATTCTTCTTTACAATAATTACATTATCAAGTGTTGAACTGAGTGGAATGAACTCTTCAGAGGCCAATTCAGCTCTTTCTTCGAACTGCAGGATGACTGGAGCCTTATGTGTTTGGAAACCTGTGATTGATCTTGGTTTACCAGCTTGGGCAACAACATCAACTGATTGACCAACACGAACGTTAGCTTGAACTGGTTCAAGGTTTTCATCAACCAAAACAAGCATTCTTGGATACATGGCAGAAGCAGCAGTATACAACAAGTAGTGATAGTTAGACAAGATGGTATTCTTAAAGTCGAGACCAGTAAAGAGGAGAGTCATCAAACCACACAATTGGGATTGAGAAAGGATGGAACGATCAGAGTAGAATGGATTCATTGTTATCAAACCCTTACCAGTGGACAATAAACCTTGAGAAACACGAACAATGAAAAGGTGGTTTGGTTCCTTTTGATAATATGTTGACAATTGTCTGAGCAATTGGCCAATTCTAGCATTGTTAGTACCGGCACCAATAACACCCAAAGCAAAGATGGCATTTTGAGAAAGTTCTGCATCATTATCGTGAGACAATTTGCTCAAAGTATCCATAACTGCCATGTCTGGATTAGAAACATTCAATAAACTCATAGCAAGTGGAACAGCTCTCTTAACTCCCATTTCAGAATATTGGAGCAAGTGACCGAATGATCTATTAGCCATTTCACAACCCAAATCTTCTCCCATACAAATTAAAGAAATACCCAAAGCAGCAACACCATGATAAGTATTGGTCAAAACATCTTCTTCCTCTTCCTTCTTTTCAGTAGTAGCAGCAGAAGCACTAGCTTGAGCACCTTGACTTGGTTGAGCTTCTTCCTTCTTTGGCTTTTCAGGATGTTCACCACAAATCTTCAACAATTGTTGAATCTTCAAAACGTTACCAGTACCACAATAAGCGCAAACTTCAACAGTCAAAGTAACAAACTTGGCCAACTTGGCATTAACAGTAGTCATGATGGATTCACAAACAGAATCAACAGCTTCTTGTTTACCCAAGAAGAGCATACCTAAGCCCAAAGCAACAAACTTAGCTAATGGATGAGCAAGATCCTTTTCACTTCTTTCAAGATAAACTTGAATGAGTGATTCTGTAATATCTTCATTCATTGTACCTACAAAGATCATACCCAAAGACAAAGCAGCAAATGATACAATTTCCATTGGTTGATCAGGATCAACAATGATTGGAATTAACAATTGGAAGATTTGTTCATTAGCACTACCAGCACCAGCAATACCGAGACCGAGAATTGAAGCAATTCTGACTTCTCTAGGAAGACCAGATTCAACATGTTCAGGTAAGATAGCCAAAGCAGGATCAGCTTCAGTTCTAATACCAGCACTGAAATTGGCAATGGCGAGTAAAGCACCAGCCTTAATGTTATTATCACTACTATACAAATACTTGTCAATTTCCATCAAACCTTCTTCATAGTTCCACAAATAAATCAAACCCAATGAAGCAACAGCACTGAGCATACCAGCATCCTTATTCTTATAAATCCAAGAATCTTCAGATTTAATCAACTTGTCTGTACCAAAACCAGCATTGACAAAACCATTAACAAATGATGAAGCAAGGTTTTGACGAGCAGAGTCAACATTTTGAGTCAAAGTTGATCTTGTTTCAGAGAGATGTGATTTGTAGACATCTTCTGGAGTCTTTGGTTCAAGAGAATCCAATTGTTTAGCCAAATACAAAAAGTATTGACTCAACTTGCAGTTACCCATAATTTCTTCCAATTCAGCACCTTCATCTTCAAGTTGATCAGCAACTGAGAATTTATAATTACCTCTTCCGAGCATGAGAGCAAGTTGTTTCCTTAAGAGGCTATCATCACAGCTGAAGAATGTATCCTTAATAAGACCAATATCATTTAATTGCATAGCAATTCGGAGTGATTCTGGAAGTTTGTTAAGCTTTCTATAAATATCGTACACAATCTTTAAAGTTTGAGTATTCTCAGGTTCAATAAAGTATTTAGAAACACCACCCAAGTATAAACAAACACGAGTATAATTTGTTTCATCACAATAATCGACAATCTTTGATAACTTTTCAGTTTCGATAAGTAAATCACAAGCTTCAGGTTCAGAAGCACTCTTCATAAAGTATGGAACAATCTTGTTAACAAGTGTAAGAATATCCATAATTTCCTCAGGTTTAAAGTCAGTATCAATGACCATATCATCACCAGTTTCTTGTATTATTCTTTCTTGCATTTGGATCTTTTCTTGGAGTCTTGTTTGATATTCTTCTCCGATTTCTCCAGCAAGAGATCTAACATATTCGTGTCCCCACTTATCAAATTCATCATCATCAGCTTCCAACATGTATTTCAAACAATCCCTTTCACCTTCAATGGACAAGGACATACCCAATACTGAGAGAATATTTGCAAAGAGGATCTTATTATCTCTAGCAGTATTCTTTTCGTAAGCTTCCTTGAGTGGTTCGTAATGTATTCTTAAGAATTTAAGAGGCTTTGGGATTGTAGTAACAGCTGTTGTGAGTGATTTCTTTAATTCTTCCTTGAGAGATTCCAAGGCAGTACGTTGTTGTTGTGGTGAATTACAAATATTATTGACCATTTCTTCAAGATCGTCCTTTAATCTTTGATCTTCCTCTGACAATTCTGGAGCAGCAAGAGCAATAGCCTTCTTACCAGGAGTGGTACTATTACTGCCATCCTTCGATGATGAAGCAGAGTTATTCTTATTGTCGGAAGAAGTCATTTTTTTAATATTATTGCTGGAGTGTTGTTTTGATGTTTTTGTTCACTTCTCCTTTGGTTGTATTTTTTTAAATCTATTTTTAAAACATTATTCCAACATTGCTGTAAGCTTGAATAATTGTTGCATTGATGATAAATAGAATATTATTGGATATCAGATGATCATCGTTATTATTATCAATTTTTGGATCTTTGGTTTTATTATGTTTAAAATCAAGTTGATATTGTTAAGATTATTGTAAGCCATGATGTTAAAGGTTACAAATTAGATTTATTTACAACTTGTATTGACAAACAACAGCTGTTACTGTGTAAACCATTGGAACATCATTCCACCAAGGAGAGTTGGCAGTTGTTGATTGAGCCCAAACATAATAATCACTGTAACTGGTTGGACTGTTATTGTTTGGCTCACCAGATTTCCAATCAGTGTAGGAAGCAACTGACTTATCATCAACCCATCTCCAAGATCCACTGTCCTTATTCAAGCCAATGAAGAATGTGTATCCACCTGAAATATTGGCAACTTCTGTTTTTTCTGTGGCTGTCTTGATGGTTACAGGAATGGCCTTAGAGTTCCACAATTTACAGACCTTAGCAACATCAGCATATTGCATTGGAGAAGTGAATACTGCACGAATCATACATCTTGTGGAAGAACAGTATGTAGCTCTCAATGTTGTTGATTCAGAAGTTGGTGGAATGAACGAATAGGTGGCAGATGTGGCGGGTCCTGTAATTGTTGAAACTGCATATGAAGATGAGCCAGTAATTGCATAAGAGATACTTGCAGCTGGAACATTTCCATAGACAGAGACAGAGAAGGTCTTGGTTGACCCGAGAGAAACAATTTTTCCATTTGGCAAGGATTCCCAAGTGAAACCAGAGAGTGAGGAAACAACATCAGTACCAACATAAACAGGGAATGACGGATTGTAGGTATTATAATATGTAGAATTGATATTGTTGGCCAATGTGAAACGAGTAATAGCACCACTTGCACTGCTTGATGGAGCTTTCAATGTGTAGGTAAAGGTTGTGATTTCAAAAGTGGAATCAAAAGCAGTTCTTGAAGTTACAACTCTTGATGTGAATGAAATGGTATAATCAAAATCTGAAATTGGTCTCTTAGTGTAAGAAGATGAGGTAGTTACAGTATTACAAGCTTCATCGATAATTGATTGATAAATACTGGTCAAATCACTCCAGTCAACTACGAAGAACTTTAAAGGATCGTAATTCATCTTTTGAATTTGACTCATACCGAATGAAGATGTTACACCATCACCTATACCAATAGTTAATTGACGATAACCCTTCCAAGAATTGATTTCAGCTGATCTAATTGTTGCTTCAGCACATGGTTGAGCCTTAGAACTAGAATTAGTCCAGTCACAATCTAAACACGATTTTCCAGGGAACCTGTTTGAGACGGTATCAGTTACTCCCAAAAGAGAGTACATTGAGTAACAGTTGGATGGAACATTTGACTCACCATCAGTAATATGAATGAACAGCTTGTTAGCCACAGAAGATCTACCATAATTAATCATGTTATTAACAGCAGTGTTAATACCCAAAATGGTGGCTGTACTACTCTTCTTTTGAGTAATACTTGAAACCATGTTATTGACTGTTGTCTTTGAGGTACCAGCGTTGACAGATAAGTGAAGAGTAGAATCAGTACCGTATTGTACAATACCAATATTTGTACCGGTTGAGCTAACATCAAATCCACTGGTAATGTTTGTTACAAAGTAAACCATATTCTTCCAATTGGTTGCTGATATAGAACCACTACCATCCAAAATGAAAATCAAATCGAATATTTGACTACAAACACAATTACTATACTTGATATTAATATCAGCATAGGCAGTGGTACTGTCTTGGACAGAAGTAATCTTGTATCTGACTTTTTCGGCTTCACAACTTCCAGTCTTTGGTAAAACTCTGATAATTCTATTATTTGCACTATCACTTGGATTCAAAATGGTTGGTATTCCAGCATTTTTACAATATGTAGAATCCGGGCAATCAATACCAGCAAATACAAAAGTACCCCCAAGAGGATCGTAGTCATTAGTTAATAGGTCAGATGCAAGGATATCAATCTTGTTATTGTAAACAGCTGTGAAGGAATCACTGACTGCAATTGGTGGAGAGCTAATTGGCTTGATACCAATGATTACAGAAGTTGTACGTGGATTTGAAAGATCATTATCGCTAACTGTCAATGTAAATGTACATCTTTGATCAGCGTATGATGAGGATCTTACAAAGCTAATCTTATTACTAACGATTGACAAAGTACCAGCAGAGCTACATGTTCCAGTACTAGAAATTGAAATGCTGAGACTGTCAGAGGTATCAGAATCGGTAGCAGCAGAGTCTGTCAAATAATCAAAAGTACGAGCATCGTTACCATCTCTTCTAATAGAGAATTCATAGTCCCAATTAGTTGCAGTTGGTGCATTATTTGGTTGTACTACATAAATATTACAATCAGCAGTTTGGGAAGCAGTGTTAGAAACTCTATAAACAGCATAACAATTAGTTCCTGTGCATGATCTTCTGGCAGTGGGGGTATAGGTGAGCTTACTGCTGACAGTTGTAATGGTACCAACAGAATTCAAATTGGTTGTAGATACTATTGAGAGTGTAATTGATTCACTACCAAAGTTTGTTGCCCATTGACTCTTGATGGAATCTTCGAATTGAGTTGCTGCACTATTCTTTGTGGTTGTGAGAGTGTAATCCATACAAGTTAAAGTGTTGGAAATAGTAATTGTGTAAGTGTATGTATTAGTCAATTGACCATCACTCAAAGTAAAATAGAATTGTTGAGTTCCAACAAAGGATTGACCATAAGTGAATTTAACTGACTTGTCAGATTGCAAAACCACTGAGCATGAAGAATCTGATGAGGAATACATTTGGACAGCGCTCAAAGAAATGGTATCGGAATCAGCATCACTAGCACCAGTCTTGAAAGTACTCTCTGGAATTGATAGAGTTGGAGAGCTGTAAGTTCTGGTAAAGGTTCCATTCTTGTTACTTCCTGTTGGTGGAGTATTCCAAATAGTGATAGAGAGAGTGCCAGACTTCTCAGCCAAACCATCTGTACATTTGAATGTCAATACATCAACAGCTTCCCATCTGCCAGAATTTGGTTTACTGGTATAGGAAATAGATGCAGCTGGTGTATAGGTAATCTTTCCAACTGATGCATCATTGGTGACAACAGAACCATATTGACCTGAAGAAATAGAAACAAATGACAAGGTATCTCCATCAGCATCTGAACAACTAGACAATAAAGAATTAACAGTTAGTGCTGAATTCCACTTGACACTTTGAGTAACAGATGAAACAACAGGTTCTTGATTGGTAAATGTGATGGTCACTGTTGCAGTTGAGGTAGATGCTCCATCAGTAATAGTATACTTAAAGCTATCTGTGCCAGTGGCACCACTTCCAGTATAGGTGTAAGTGATAGAGAGCTTATCAGAAGAGATAGTTAAAGTAGCACCACGAATCAAAGAAGTTGAATCAACACTAGAGATTGTAATTGTGTCTCCGTTACCATCAGAATCATTAGCAAGTGGATTAATGGTAAAGACCTTATTATTCCACAACTTGGAAACCGAATCAGAAACAGCAACTGGAGCAGTATTTGTCAAGGAAATTGTTGCCGTGTTTTCAACTGAAATACTACCATCACTGACAGTGAATTTAAAGGTAGCAGTAAGTGGGGCTGTTCCTGCTGGTGGAGTGTATATGAGATTGGTTGTCGAGCCAGCTTTTCTAGCAACAGTACCTGTACCTGTTTGTGGTTGAGTAAATGCAGAAATTGACAATGTATCTCCATCTGGATCAGTAGCAGAAGATTCTGTGATAAAGTTCAAGTCAAGTCCACTTTGAATAGTCTTCCAGTGATAGGTCTTGCTAACACTATTAGCTGTTGGAGATTGATCAAGAATATTTACGGTAATAGTTTTAGTTACTGTCTCAAAGCCATCAGAAACTGTGTAAGTAAAGGTTTGGTTTACCAAATTGCCTTGAACGTTTTGGAAGGTAAAAGTTCCCGATGATAATGTAACAGTACCAATACTTGGCTGAGTAAATGAAGAGATGGTGAGAGCGCCTGAATCTGCAGAATCAGCATCTGTTGGTTTAAGACCATCACTTCTTGACAATATTGGAATACTGACCGAGGAAGAAGAAAGGTGATTAACATTAACAGCAATATCATAAGCAACTGGAACAGAGTTTGTTACAGTAACTGGGAAAGTTGCACTTGAGCTTCCCCATCCATCAGTGAATTGCACAGTAAAGCTATCGGAACCCTTCCATGCAGAAGCTAATTGATATTTAACAGTGTTGGTTGCAACAAGGGTAACACCAGCTCTTCCACCAGAAGTGACTTGTGAAACTGTTACAGAATCACCATCATTGTCACTAAATCTAGAGGTCAAGACAATATTATTGGCTAATAAAGCTTGTCTCCAGTGATAGGTAAATGCACCAGTGTTGGCTGTTGGCAAGTTATTTGTTACAGTGACGTCAATTGTTCCAGTATTTGTCTCCTTTCCATCTGAAATGGTGAATACAATTTGCTTGATTGCTCCAGTGAAACCACTTGTTGGGACGTATGAAATTTGAGCAGAAGAACCACTTCCAACAGTGGACAATGCTCCTTGAGCTTGGGTAATTGAAGTATAGGAAGCTAATGACAAGGAATCTCCATTAGCATCTGATGATGAAGCAACCACAGAGAAGTATACACCATTCTTAACAGCAGACCATACAGAGGTTTGAGAGAATGAACTAGTTGTTGGTTTAGTGTTTGTAACGTTGACAGAGACAGTTCCTTCACTTGATTGAGCTCCATCACTGAGTTCATACTTGAAAACATCAACAGTACCAACAGTTGAGGTCTTTGGATAATATCTAATCTTACCACCAGTAATGATTGGAGCAGTAGTAGCAGATGAACCATAAACACTGGCAATGCTCAAACTATTAGAGTCTGGATCAGAATCATTTGCCAACA